GAAAGCAAGAAATCACCCCCCAGGAGGGATGGTCATGCCGCAATCCCTTCTCCTCCATTCTCCTCTCGGGATCTTGGGCACACATGCACACGCGTCCTGCATGAGTTTTAAGCCACCAGGTCCAGGACATGAACCACGGTCAACTACGTGGGAGTCCAGCGCCATAGCCATTACGCCAACTGCTGGTTCCCACCTGCTATCATCTTGAGAAACAGATGTAGGAAGTAGTACAGAGGATGAGAAAAGGTTTAATCTTGATAAGTGTATGTGTTGAAATGCATAAGTGAGGATTGAATTGAGCAATAGAAATGAAAGAGTATAAGGTTTCTGAGTAGTAGAGGACCTAGAACTGGTGTATAATTCTTTGAAAAAGCAAGAAGGACAAAACATTGTAATGGCAAGGTGGAATTTCTGTTTATTAATACTAGAGGTACTATTCCAGGTAAAACCAAAGTGTAATACGTAAAGAATTTGAGCACAGAAGAATGACAGAGCATAATTAAAAGTTTAGGAATCTGTGTTATTGGGTAACTTTATCACTTTATTTAACTATAAAGTGTTCTCAACCCTTCTGTGTCATTTGTCAGCTGGGTAAATAACAGTAGGGCTATTGTAAATAAATAAATAAATATATGGAAATGTTTAAGCATATTACTCTCTAACCTTAAGGCACAAATTGGGTGAGTCAATTTCACTTTGGTTTATGACATATTATCCTTGTTTGTCTATGAAAAACATTTAGTTATTTGTATGGGGAGAAATTACGATTCAAATTCTTTGGTACAAAAGTGTGCGTGTTTATAATTGAGATGAGGGATCTTGGAACTAGTGAAGATTAAATTCAAATATCAATATTTCAGCTATTGTTTTATGAAAATGTCACAGCCCCAAGATAATGTTCAATTGTTCTATTTTCTATAATACATGATGTGTCTACAGATCATGTCAGCATGTAACAGTGACATCATTGCCTGTGTATTCTTGTTACTTTATCATAAAACAAGAGTTTTATTTGATTGATAGCCAGTTCCATGGAGAAAAGATCTCAACATCAGGCTTGAATGAAAGCAGAAAGGAAGTGAGACTCCAGAGAGTTATGATGGGTGTTAGAGAACCATTACTAGAAATAAAGTAATAATAATGAAATCTGAGAAATTCCATGTTATTTACCTATAAGTGGAAAACAAAATCCACATAATGAATGGGTCAGGGGTCTCTGTTTTGAAACCTGAAAGAGAATTGAATAACTCTATATACCATGGGCCAATTAACCTATAAAACTCAATGCTCTACACATTTTGATGGCTCTACACAATCTTGTCCATAAGGTATTTGTATTAATAAGATCTTTTTTTTTTTTTTACTTTTCTGGAAGGTGTGTGTGTTCCCAGAGACAAAGAAAAAAAGGAATGGAAATTAAGAGAACATGCCCTGGGGGTGGGGGAATGACCATGCCATAATTACTTCTCCATTCTTTCAGGATTTTCAGCATGCACAGCATATTTCTGAAACAGCCAGGTCCAAGACTCAAGCCATGCGGTCGCCCATATGAAATCCAGCTGCCTTCACCCTTGTGCCACTGGCTGGTCCTCTACTATCTTTATTAGCAACTCTGATTTTATCCTTTTTATTTTTAGGTTTTTGCTATAGGGTACTTGCACCCGCCAGGAGAGAGAGAGAGACACAGAGAGAGGGAAAGTGAGAAATCACCCCCTGGGGGATGGCTACACCACAACCCCTTCTCCTCCATTTTCCTCTCAGGATATTGGGCACACACGTACTCATGTGCCCAGCGTGTCATTCAAGCCACTGAGTCTAGAACTCAAACTGTGGTCGACTGTGGGAGTCCTGTACCTTAACCACTACACCACCTGCTGGCCCTGGTTATGTCCTTTTCTAATATCCACCAAAGAGCCAGCTAGTGACATGGTGGTTAAGGCAGCTGGATCTCACATAGTCAATTGCATGGTTCCAACCCGGACCTGGCAGCTTGAGAAACATGCTGGATGCATGTGTGCTTGTGTCCAAAATCCCAAAAGGAAGAGAGAGAGAAGGGATTGAGGTGTGAGTATCCCTCACTGGGGTGCTTTCTCATTCCTTTCCCCACCTCTATACCCACCCTGTCTCTAGTGAAAGAGTGAGCCCTCTGGCAAATTAAAAATAAATAGATGGGATCAGCAGTTGGCATAATGGCTATGTCGCTGGATTCCTATGTAGTCAACTGCGGTTTGAGTCCCGGACCCAGTGGATTAAACTCAGCCGGGGGTGAGTGCATGCATGCCCAAGATCCCGAGAAGAGAATGGAGGAGAACGGATTGTGGCATGGCCATCCCTCCTGAGGAGTGATTTCTCGCTTTCTGTCTCCCTGTCTTTCTGGCGAGAGCACATGCCCTATAGCAAAAACCTCTCAAAATAGATAGGGAACCAGCAGTTGTGTAATGGCTATGTCGCTGGACTCCCACGTAGTTGACTGTGGTTCGCATCCCGGACCCAGTGGCTTAAAACTCACGCTGGGCACGTGTGTGTGCGTGCCCAAGATCCCAAGAGGAGAATGGAGGAGAAGGGATTGCGGCGTGACCATTCCCTGGGGAGTGATTTCTCGCTTTCTATCTCTATGTCTCTGCCTGGCGAGCGCACGCGCCCTATAGCGAAAACCTCTCCAAAAAAAAAAAAAATAGACAGACAGACAGACAGATAGATAGATAGATAGAGGCATCACGTGGCATGGCAGTTAAGGCAGCTGGATCTTATATGACTACGGTTTGAGTCCTGGACCTGGCAGCTTGTAAAACACTCCAGGTACATATGCCTGGGCACCCGAAACTCCAAAAGGAGAGTGGAAAAGAAGGGATTATGGCATGGCCCGCCCTAGTTGGGAATGATTTCTCACCTTCCCATATCTGTCTCATCTAAGTGAGCTATGCACTCTATAATAAAACTTTTTTTTTAATTAATAAAATAAAAAAACAATAAGATTGTAATTGACCATGGGTAGGAGGAGTGTCCTATGCCTAATTTTCCTAGAGTATACTGTGTATTTCTGTTGCTTGGGTGGGGCACATACTGAAATGAAGATCTGGGGCTTCACAACAGGTGGATCTGGAAATCGTGCACAAGAGTGGCGTCTCATGACTTCTTTCTCCATCCACATATTCCCTGCTTAGTGCTTGGACAGTCTGTGAGTGAAAACCCAGAGGAAGACAGCAGAAAAGTTGAGTTATTGGCAATGCATCCACTGGTGAGTAGGGAATCTCAACTCTCTGGTCTTGGCATTAGTACAACTGAACTGTCTAAATTAGAATGTCCATTATGTTCTAGGAATCAGTGACCTTTGAAGATGTAACTGTAAACTTTACCCATGAAGAGTGGGCCCTACTGGACACATCTGAGAGAATGTTATACAAAGATGTGATGGTGGAAACTATCAATCATCTAATATGTCTTGGTGAGTGTCAATAGTTACGTATGTGTATACGTATTCATTTATTCAGTTAATCAAGTGTGTAGGACTTCCCATACTCTAACCTCCCGTATTCTATCTCAATCTCTATTGTGATTTTTCTTCCTAGATCAAATAATTGCTTGAAAGAAATTGGAGGGTTTTATATATACTTTATTTACATTTAGTTTTATCACTGCACTAGAAGGTAGTCTTTACCAGTCTTATATCTTTCCTGGTGTACTAGGAGTCACCAAAACTCAGAATAGATTTGGTAATGCTATTGAATTATTAGTACATTAAGTATTTTACTAATGCACTCATGTCTGAGAACTGGTTCCAAGACCTCCCTCACTAACAAAAACCCATACATGTTTAAGTGCCTATAAAGTTATTGAAAGTATATATCCTTCAGTAGATTTTAAATCATCTCTAGATTTCTTCTAGTACCTAATACAAGGTAAATGCTAAGTAGTTTAAATATGTTTTAGTTCTGTTATTTTAAATTTTGTTTTGTTTTGTTTTTTATTTATTTTTGAATAGTTTCAATCCATGGTTGATTGAATGTGCTAATGTGGAAACCCATAAATAGTGGGTCAAAGGTAATATTTCTACTCTAGTAAATATACTGAGGTTTGAGAATAGATGGTAAAAATAACAATTTATTATTGTATTTCATTAGAATACTCAGCCCACTGTAGAGACATTTTAAGCTTTCTTTTTTTGCTAAAATTGATAATTTTTCATTCTGCTACTGATTTTGGTGATGAGCATCAACATCCTGAGGTTCTCACTGTTTGGGGCACACTGTCTGTATTTCTACCTGATAAAGTAAAAGACCTTTCGTTTCATGTATTAAATGTATAACTTAGGCTGACTTCCAAGTTTCTCTTTATTATTATTTTTTAATGAATTTTATGTTTTTTGAGAAGGAGAAAAAATGAAACATTCTCTTGGTACAATCATATCACCTTGCAGTCCTCTCACTCAACCCTTCAGCCAGGATCATGGGCTGCTCACCCACAACCAGCATGCTTCAAGTTAAACTAGGATTCACACTCCTAGTTCTCCTCATTGTATGGGGATGTCCAGCTGCCCTTTCCATCACAGTTAGACTGCTTTTCCATATTCATTCTCTGTAGCCTCCTATGGACTTGATAATTATAGTCACTAGCACAAACTTAAAATCCAGGTACTTTTTTTCCCTTACAAACAGGGTATCAGTTCTGTAAATCAGATGTGATATTCCATTTGGAACAAGGTCAAATGATGTGGATGATGGAAAAAAGAGGATTTCCCCAAGTCCAGAGTTCAGGTAAGCAGGGGTTACTTGTGCTTCAATATAGACAGGTGCCTGGTCAGTAAGAATGTCCTTGGAATTACCAACTGTAGGTTATAAAAAGTAAGTAATGGTTTCTATAATGAATATGAGGATATCAGAACAAGATTTCTCAGATACTGTTACTTCTTTCATGGTATCACTCACAATTTATGCATCCTCTTGCTATAGCATTTGGTTTTGGGCAAAAGAATATGTATTTCTTGAAATTAGATTTTCTTATACTGATTGTTTTTGTAATCTTCCCTTTTGGAAAGTTCTTATCTCCTTACCATTTGTATTTGCATGTCAATCCTGAAAATTTTTTATTTTATTTATTTTATTTATTTATTTTTGAGGGGAGGTTTTCGCTGTAGGACGCGTGCACTCGCCAGAGAGATAGAAAGTGAGAAATCACCCCCCAGGGGGATGGCCACTCTGCAATCCCTTCTCCTCCATTCTCCTCTCAGGATCTGGGGCATGCACGCACATGCGCCCAGCGTGAGTTTTAAGCCACCAGGTCCGGGACGCAAACTGCGGTCAACTACATGGGAGTCCAGTGACATAGCCATTATGCTAACTGCTGTTCCCAATCCTGAAATTTTTTTCTAATTGTCAGTGCCCTATAATACATTTCTACTACTTGCAGTATTCTTTTATTTGACACATTTGCTTTCTCTACATGCCAACTTTTAAAATATACTCATGTGAACCTAGTGTATTTCAATATTTTATTCTCCTAATAACATGCTAACGATCTTTTTTTGGCAGTTATTATAGATAAGGAAAGTGCACATAAAAAACAAGAAATGATATCCATACAACAGATCCGCATAGAGAACACATCCACCATCAGGTCAATGGTAAGTTCCTTAGATACAGACTCTGGTCATTCAAATAAATACTATAATTTGAATTTAGTGAGAAATTAATATGAGTTAATAAGTATTACCTTAGCTTTAAAGAAAATGAACATTTGGGGACCAGCGGGTGGCGTGGTGGTTAAGGCGCTGGACACTCCCACATGGCTGACCAGGGTTCGAGTCCTGAATCTGGTGGCTTGCTTTCTCACTTCCTCTCTCTCTCACTCTCACCCTCTGTCTCTCTCTGGTCAAATTAAAAAATCAATGAATAACTAAATAAAAAATAAATAATTATTTAAAAAAGAAAAATGAACATTTGTATGTGCTCTGCTCATATAATTAATTTTTTAAGTATATTGAAATCTCCGCAATTAATCTGGTAGTCCTACATTTGGATGCTACATAACAAAATCTTTGCCACAGAGAAGTAACATGCTATGTGTAGGTAAGGAACAATGGAAATATTTTTAACTCTAGACTAATAATTATTAGTCTAGGATTTATATGTAGAGAAATTAATGTATTGATGTGTGTGCTAGTCATTAACAGCCTTTCATCTCTTTTATAAAAGCAGAAATGTCATACTCAGGAAGACCCATTTAAATGGAAAGATTTGGAAGAAGATTTCACTCACAGCTCTGCATTAACTCAAAATTTGTTAACTTGCACAGCAAAGAAACCCTTTGTCAACAAACTGTGTGGAAAATCCTTTAGTGACTACTTGTTCCTTAGTCAACACAAGAAGAATCAGACAAGAGGTAAAACATATGAATGCCATCTATGTGGGAGAGTGTTTGGTAATTGTTCTAACCTTAGACAACATAAGATGACTCACACTGGAGAGAGGTCATATGAGTATCATCTTTGTGGAAATGCTTTTATTTGTATGCCTGATCTTAGAAAACATGATGTTAGAAAACATCAAACTCACAGTGGAGAGAAAGTGTATGAATGTCATCTGTGTGGGAAAACCTTTAGTCAATCTTCTAAACTTATAGTGCATGAGAGAAAACACACTGGAGAAAAACCATATGAATGTCAGCTGTGTGGCAAAGCTTTCAGTCAATCTTCTCATGTTAGAGAACATGAGAGAACACACACTGGAGAAAAACCATATGAGTGCCATCTATGTGGAAAAGCCTTCTGTCAGTCGTCTTCTCTTACACTTCATGAGAGAATGCACACTGGAGAGAAGCCATATGAATGTCATCTGTGTGGAAAAGCTTTTACCAATTCCTCTGCCCTTAGACGACATGAGAGAACACACAATGGAGAAAAACCATATGAATGCCATCTCTGTGGGAAAGCCTTTAGTCATTCTTTTTCCCTCAGACAACATGCAAGAACACACACTGGAGAAAAACCATATGAATGCCACTTGTGTGGGAAAGCCTTCAGTCAATCTTCTGCCCTTACACTGCATGAGAGAACACACACTGGAGAGAAACCTTATGAATGTCATCTATGTGGGAAAGCTTTTACCAATTCCTCTGCCCTTAGACGACATGAGAGAATGCACAGTGGAGAGAAACCATACAAATGTCATTTCTGTGGGAAAGCCTTCATTCAGTCTTCTCACCTCAAACTACATGAGAGAACACACACAAGAGAATAACTTTAATGTGTCTTCTGATCATAAGATGATATGTTATTATAAAGGTAATAAATTTGGAAGCGTCTTCAGATATACCTGTAAGATTTAGACACTCATGAGGACACAGTTATTGAAGGAATACATTCTGGAATTAATGCAGAAGATCCTGAAGTCATCCTTACCCTTCATTTGATAAACATGAATTCATGTGGAAGAAAAACCCTATGTATAAAATTATGTATCATATCTTCAGTCAGTAATGTCATACATGACTTATCTTCCTGTGTACTATAATGAATATAGTAATTTTCAATAACAATTCACAGCTTAAACACACTAGAATACTCATACAGGAAAGAACCCCCATATTGGTAATGTGAGAATGCCTCCCCTTATAATTTATTATTAAACAATTCAAGTAAACTGTTTGATGAATCCCTTGGTCCCTAGTAGCTATAAATATTCAGCAAAGTACTAAGCTTGGTGTACACACCCAGAATCAAGGAATAGCTGTTAAAAAAGGAAACAACTGAATGAAACTCATTAAGCAATATCTCATTGTAGAGAAATGATTTAATGAAAAGTCATGAGAAAAAACTTTTTTTTAAAAGAGATTTTTGCTGGGGCCAGCAGTTAGCATGATGGCTATGTCGCTGGACCTCCCACGTAGTCGACCGTGGTTTGAGTCCCGGACCTGGTGGCTTAAACTCACACCGGGCGTGTGTGCATGCATGCCCAAGATCCTGAGAGTGGAGGAGAAGGGATTGCAGCGTGACCATCCCCTCTCGGGGGTGATTTCTCACTTTCTGTCTCTCTGTCTGTCTCTTGTCTGTCTGGCGAGTGCACGCACCCTGTAGCAAAAAAGAACTCTCAAAAAAAAAAAAGATTTTTGCTATCAGGCACATGTGCTCACTGGAAAGAGAGAGAGAGAAAGAGAGAAATCATCGCCGCCTCCCACCCCCACCCCTGGGAGGGTTGGCCATGCCACAATCCCTTCTCCTCTTGGCATTTTTGGACATGCGCAGGCACACATGTGCCAGGCATGAGTTTGAAGCAACTGGCTCCAGGACTTCAATCACAGTCAACTATGTGGAGTCCACTACATAACCATTACACCATCTGCTGGTCCCATGAGAAATGCTTTTTATAGAACAACACTTGGTATGTGAGAATTCACACTGGAGAAAACACTAAGTGACTTGATAAAGGAAAATCTTCAGTGATCACTCATTTCATAGTGAATATTAACATTTTTTCACTAAGGATATGTCAGTTCTGAAATCAAAGTAGATAAGACTTCAGATTTCACATGATAAAACTGATTCTGGAATAAACTAACTAAATCTCTAAAAGAACGTTTAAAATGTTTTTTAGCCTGTAACTTGGAATTTTGAGAAAATAACTTCATTTAAAAAACGTGACATAGAATGAGCTGGTGCATGATGGTCAGGGTGACTAGATCCTACATGGCTTACCACACACTTTAAATCCCAGACCTATTGATGAAAAACATGACAGGCATATGTGTGTGCATGCCCAAAATCCCCAGAGGAGAATAAAGAAGGGATGGATAGCAGCATGGCCATCCTTTCTGGGTTTCTGTCTGTCTCCCTCCTTTCCTCCCTCTCTCCCCCTTTCTCCTCCCTCCTCTTCCCCCACACCCCTCCTAGCAAGGGCACATACCCTATAGCAAAACTAAAAAAAGAAAACATGACACCAAATTAGAGGATATTGAGGTTATCTGAAGATGATAAATGCTGATATTTCTAAAAAATTAGGTTCAAATTCACATAGATTAAATTAGATCTGATTGGTAAATAGAAATTAAATAAGTACATACAAATATGTAAACAACAAAACCTGTTGCTGAAAAAGCTAGTGTGATGATGATATTGGTTTTAACTATACAGGTTAAACCTTGAAGATTTAGGTCTGAAGTTTTTGTCATCCAGGAATAGTCATCTTTACTCTCTGGGTGTCCGTTTTGTGCAACAGTTCCCTCCACACAGCTAACCTCCACTTATTCTAGCTCTCCCTCCCTTCCAACACCATCAATCTTTGTTAGTGCTCTGAAGATAACAGGAAACTTCACCTTTTCAGGTACTTCATTGTGGCATGACCCTAGGTCATGGAGGCAGTACAATAGACATCTAGTCTAAACTATTTTGGGGAGCTCCTCAATCTTTGTTTCTGCCTCTGAAACCTACCTGGAGACAGAGACAGGCATCTGAACCCTTTTATCCCATAGAACTCTTTAGACTTTCCGGAGCCTCTGAGTTGAGCTAAGTAGGGCATGAGTTCATCCTAATAACATCCCATGTCTTAATTAGATCCATTCTGAGCTAAATAAAAAGTTACCACCAACAAAAACACTCTTAGGACTGATAAATAAATTCAGAAAAGTTACAGAAAATCAAAAATGAGGGCTTTCAGGTGGTGTGTTGTTGGCATGGTGGTTAAAGGCGTTGTGTTCTCACTTGGCCGACCACAATTTGAGTCCCAAGACCTGGAGGCTTGCTTTCTCACTTTCCCTTTCTCTCTTGCTGTCTGGTCAAATTAAAAAATAATAATAATAAAAACAAGTGGAATTAAATAAATCTTTAAAAAAATAATAAAAAGGGATCAGCAGATGGGGTAATGGCTACCTTGCCAAACTCCCATGACCATGGTTCTAGTTCTGGACCTGGTGGCTTAAACTCATACCGGGCACGTGTGCATCCCATGCCCAAGATCCCAAGAGTAGAATGGAGGAGAAGGGATTGCAGCGTGGCCATCCGCCTGGGGGGTGATTTCTCACTTTCTGTCTCTCTGTCCTTCTGGCAAGCGCAAGCGACCTATAGCAAAAACCTCTCCAAGAAAAAAAAAATGTATAACTACTCAGGTCAGTGGCTCAGGCTTTTAATCAGGCTTTTTTTTTGGAGAGTTTTTTTCTATAGGGTGCATGCGCTTGCCAGAAAGACAAAGACAGACAGCAAGAAATCATCCCCCAGGGAGGATGGCCACACCACAATCTCTTCTCCATTCTCCTCTTAGGATCTTTGGCACGCATGCACACGTGCCCGGCATGAGTTTAAGTCACCGGGTTCGGGACTCGAACCGCAGTTAACTACATGTGAGTCCAGTGACATAGCCATTACGCCAACTGCTTGTCACTTGAATCAATATTAGAATCAATATTCTAAGAGCCATTCCTGAATTTCATGAAGGCCTGGAGTAGCTTTCCTTTCAATTCTCTGAGGGCCTGTTTGCATTCAGATCCCTTTCAAAAGGTTCATCTCTTTTTAGTTTTTCATAGAGGAGCTTGACAATCAGCCCAAAGTTCAGAGTCCAGATTTAGCAAAATCCCATCATCCCCAGAAATGTTCTTCACTGTGTATGGTCTTGGAGAAGCTGAGAGTGCAAATAGTCTTCTTTCTTTCGTGGGGAAGATTTTCTTTAATTTTGCTAGAGGGTTCATGCACTAAGTAGACAGAGAGGAAGATAAAGAATGAGAAAGCACCCCCTTGGGGCATGGTCATGCCATCATCCCTTCTTTTGCATTTCTTTTCCCTTTCAAAATTTGGGGCACTGACATACATATCAAGTGTTTCTCAGGCCAGTGGGTCTAGTACTCAAACTGTTTGGTCATGTGGGATGCAGCCATCTTAACCACCATGTCACTAGTTGGCCCACCCAAGGAAGATTTTGTTGACTTGACAGTACAAACTCAGTAAGTGACATTTATCTGAGATACTTGATTTTCTTTTTAAAGTCTCTGTAGCTTCTGTCTGCCAGGTGGTTAAGCAGTCACCGAATTCTGGTCAAACAACTCACTAGTGGGACTGGCAATCAAAACATTCCCATATTATGGGACCAGCAGTTAGCATGTAATGACTCACTGAACTCCCATGTAGCCAACCGCGGTTTAAGTCCTGGACCCGGTGGCTTAAAACTCACGCCGGGCGCGTGTGCGTGCGTGCCCAAGATCCCGAGAGGAGAATGGAGGAGAAGGGATTGCAGCGTGACCATCCCCTCTGGGGGGTGATTTCTCGCTTTCTGTCTCTCTGTCTTTCTGGCAAGTGCACACACCCTATAGTAAAGACCTCTCAAAAAAAAATTATATATTACAAGAGAATATCTTCTCCGAGTGAAGATCTCCAAGATTCCTTGCTAGGATTTTCTGAAATATAGTGGGAGAATTACTTAATTCCTCTCTCCAGAGGATATATTTACCTCTAATTTATTCCCATCTAGGTAAGCATTACCCCTAATTTATATAGTATATCCCTTCCAGGCAAGGGAATGGGGCATTTAGGGACATATATACAAAAAGGAACAACTTATTTTTTTCTAACTTATTCACATTGAAGTGTTAATAAGTCTTTTGTTCTCTGAATTTCCTGACACTCAAAATACTGCATTTTTAATTTGTAAACTTGCCTGATAAGGTGTCGTAGACCAAATGACTACTTATTGACTAAAAAGTTGGCTTTACCCCTCTGTGCAATGTCATTGGGAATCCTTGTGAGAGAATTGTATTTTTCCCAGAGCCAGCCAGCGAGCCCACAAACCCCATCAGTCTTCATCTATTTGGGCATCAGATATTTCTGCTCTGACAGAAGCAGAGGTGTTGCCCATTCCTTCTTCCTTGTGGACAAAGTGGACATTTCCCTTTCAGGTGTCCCTCATCCTACTTTACAGATGATAAACTAATTGGGTCTTAATCAATGGAGCCCATGGATCTTTCACTAGGAACAGAAATCATTCTCCAATGCCAAGGCGTGCTCTGCATATATTTCTCTCTGGGCTTACCTTTTGGCTTCAGAAGGCAATAGCCAATAGAAAGTACCAGTGAGATTTTTGTTCTTTCCTTTCTTCTACATGTCAGTTACTGAACCCTTATTGGATAGGTCAGCTGGAAGTAGGTGTCTTAGGTTCTTTATTCAATGTTTGTAGTGTGTGTTGATCCAAGCCGGGGGACAGTCAAACAGGTTCCCTGGGGGAGGGAGTGAGAGATGGGACAAATGCACACACACACA